AGTAATGTAGCTCCCAGGTAGGACTGGGAATCCCTAGATGAAGTACCTGACCAGAGCACATGACCAGGAAGGGTCATGTGATCAGCGGATCAGGTGAAATCTGTGCAGACTGTGAAAGCAGCAGCAGTTCCATACAGTGAAAGAACAGGGTCAGAGAAAGGGGTTCTTCTCAATGGGCAGGTCGAAGGCCTGGAATGAGAGAACTTGAATGGAGCAGAGGCTGCTTGCAAGTCTTTTCAGAGAGGAAGCTATGGAAGGTGCAGCAGCTGTGGTGGTTGGAGCTAAAAAAAAGGCTGTAGAAATGCCCCATGGAAGAATGAAAAATGGTTGTACCAAACTTTAGGGGAAAGCTTAAAGAAATAGGCAATACAAGACATTCCCATGAGCCCAAAGGGAAACCAAGCCTGAGGGAAAGGCTCAGGATGGGAGAGTCTCAGCAAGGACTACTGGAGATATTTTTCTGAGGTTTTGTGGAACCAGACCCCAGAACCAGGAGGGGAGGCATTGTTGAGACTCAAACAGCTATCCTAAGATGAGAAAACTGAGGCATAGCACCACGGGCTGCTAAGAAGGAACTTAACTGCTATTACACCACCTCTTTGACAGCACAGATTTCAAGTGGCTGAACCATTTAGGATTATCCTCCCGTACCTTGATAAGCAGCAAGGTATGAGCTCCCTTCTCCTGAACTCCCTCTAGCCACTGTTTGGCCAAGACACTGAACAGTGATGCCTTCATCTCACTGCAAACTAAGAGAGTTCACAAGACATATTATGCTCACAATGCTCAGGTATCAAAGATGTTGTGTAGCAGAACCAAGGAAGAGTACACTGCATTTCTGATACTTCTAAGCAGGTTTTTGTTTTTTGTTTGTTTTTTTTTTTAATAAAAGCAAACTTTTCAGGCAGTTTTATTCAAAGAAATAAAGGCCAAAAGCCCAATTATTTTTTAAAAAATTAAAAAAAAAATTAAGACTGGCCAAAAGCATATTATATGATATATTGTGTCAGGATGAGAATTATTAACTCCCTCCCCCATGCACACACAAACAAAAGCCAACATACAAAAAACAAACACTTGAAACCACAAAAAGACTACGGTTAAAACAACATTAAGGATCTGACATGTTGACAAAAGCCAGAAACACTCTCCTTAAATCACTTCATTCTGCTTAAGAATTGCAGTGGAAATGAGGATCTCAGAACAGTTTGGTATTGCAAATCTCACCACCACAAAGGAATATAAGATGACCTACAGAGTGGGAAGAAAAAAAAAATCTGCTGGTGCTCTTTTTTTGCTTCTATTTTATGCATAAGGGTCAGCGCTTTTGGGTTTTCTTCTTTAACATTGCAAATTACTATGTTTTTTCTACTGTTTTTGCTAAAGGACCTTTTGTTGATTAAAAAGAGCCAGCAGGATGATGACATCATAAAACACTGAAACTTGAGCAGTTGAAAAGAGGGAAGATTTCTACTTGGATTATTTAAAAAAACAACACTATTTTTGTTAATACCTATTTAGCCAAGCTCCTGACAAACACTTGGAAGCAATCCTCAAAGATGCAAATATAGTAGTTTACAAGTCCTACAAAGAATTCTCTGCAGAAAGAGAGAAAACAAGACTCCTGATACTTCTAGGCAAAAAGTAAGCAAGAATTATTGTAAAAATCTCAGGCTCTCTGGATATATTATAAAGAAGAAAAAGCCCACAAAACGTTCCCTCTAAGCTACGCGGCCGGGAAGAGGCGCCTTTTCCTCTGGGGGGAGTCCTCTCTCCTCATTGCAGCCCTGGGGCACCCCAAACCCCGCATGCCTGGCCCCACCCCAGAGCCCACACCTCCTGCGCATCCCAATCCTCTGCCCCAGCCCTGAGCCCCATCTCACACCTTGAACCCCTCCCCCCTTCCACACTCCAGACCCCTCACCCCAATCCCCTACCCCAGCTCAGAGCCCCTCATCCCCGGCCTGAACCCCCACCCCCCGCAACCCTCTGCCCCAGCCCTGAGTCCCCATCCCGAATCCCTTGGCCTCACCCCCGCCATACATCACTTCCATATTGATGCACATAAAATTAATTCCACACATGGATGTAAACAATTAGAGGGAACATTGCACACTATTATTTTTTGCTTTGAAGACCACATGTAAGAGTTCTAGTTCATTCCTTACATGAGAGAAAGCCACTGACCCTCTGGCCTGGACAATGCTAGACTAGGCTGTAAATAAAGATTCCATCTCACTTTTGACAAGGGATAACCTAATATCTATGTTTATGGTAGTTCCTAACTCCAGTTTCTAACACCAAAGCATCAATGGTGGGGGAGCTAATGTACACAGGGCTCCAGGCAATTGCTGTCCTTTTAAGCACCATTTCATGGAAGCCTGCTCAGTGCAGGTCTATGCAATACAGTGGTAAATATAATCGTGATTGCTGGTGCCTGGTGTACAAAAGCAGAGCTGCACCAGCATTAGCGGGAAGGGTTCAGATTAAAGCCTAGTATAGACAAGGCTTACATAAATTACTTTATTGCTGGGGCTACATATTGGGGTGCCTGTTCACTGACACCCCCTTCCCCCCCCCAGGTTCTGGCCAGGCTTACTTTGCAGGAACCCTGCCCTTTTAGTCCCCATTTGCAGGCCCCTTTAGAACTGCATACAGGCTTTCATGTGCATAACATCTCCTTCTGTCTGGAGCTGGCTTAACAATGAACTCCTCTTAATCCTCAAAGTTTCAAAATAAAGTCCATCACCACACAACACTCCATACTTAGTTCTGGTGTCTTCTCTCACAGCTGGAACTCTTCTGTCCCAGTCTGTTTTCACAGCCCATCCTCTCAGCTCATCCTAGCTGGAACTTCGCTTTCTGGCACAGGCCTCTAGGCCCCCAATTTGTAGGCCCAAACTCCATCTGGGTTTCCCAACAGGAGCCTCCCTAGGCTCCGGCTCTGTCACATCTCCCATGGTCTTGTGGTCTTCCCTGCAGGAGCCCTTCACACACACTACAATTTCCTGCGCTTCCCCCCTTCTCTGCAGCCTCCTGCTGCTCTTTATAGGGCAATCATCCTGATCTCTTCCAGCTGTGACTCATTCTGTAATCATGGGTGGCTAGCTCCAGCAGAAGCCACCATTACATACAGACCACAAGAAATCAATGCTATAGCAGGTATATTTCCAGATCCTGACTCCTCTTGTAAAAAATCTCTTATGATTCCTTTTTCCTTGCCAGCTCAGTACTTACGGGATATATCTTTTGCATCTCTCACCAGATAGCTCAGAGGACAGAGGACACAGTGGTTCAGTTTCTCTCTCTCTCTCTCTCTCTCTCTCTGAGGAGTCTGAGCAGCAGTCTTCTTTCTCTCTCCCAATACTGGGCATGTAGAGGCAACATTTTGGGATCTCATGTGTGAAAGACTCTCTATAAAAACATTTTTTACATACATACACACCACAGAGAGAGAGAGAGAGACACTCCACAATAGATGAAGAAGGGTGTAGAATGTAATCTTTCAGGACAGGTTTTTGCATCATGTAATTTGTTAGCGCCCGGAGACTTTAGTGATGGACCCACTAGATATTCAAAGACAGATTCTAAATGTCTTGGTCTTTTTATTCTTTGTCTGTACAGTGCCTACCAGAATGGGGTCCATGACTAGTGCTCCCAAGCACTACAGTAATATAAACAATAATAATAATGACAATGGTCTGTCTCAGGCAGATTTTGTTAATTTTTTTGCAAGTCTGTGTTTAAAGATTTATTTTTCACACGTAGTACACTGTCAAGCTGCTTACAATAAAATATATTGCTTACAACTGCTGAGTAAAATAAAGTGTCTTCTACTGAGGCCCTCCCCGGCCAGTACTATTAAGTGAGAGACACTCCTATCTCTAAATAGGACACAACATATTTCACTATCTTCAGTATACTGTGTTATGAATTGCGTAGTCATATGCACATCAAGATCCCTACAGCTTGCCTGGATACAATATAGGTTAATTTAATTTCTTAATGACATCACAATAGGGATAAACACCCCTTTCTGTGTTTGTTTCCAGAGAAAAAGTAAAAACACTTTATAAACTGGCTTGCAGACAACCCATGGTAACCTATAGGAAAATTTATAACTATTTGAGTAAATGAAGGTTTGGTCTTCAAAAAAAAGTATCTTTGCTAGGTTTTTATTACTAAATCCAGAACATCAAGCTCCAAAATGTGCATCAACAGAATTAAACATTTAAATCTTATTCTCTTTAACCCCCGCCGGACTCTTTGGAATAGGATCAACTTAAAGGACTTTTGAATGGTCCTCTGCAGACACTGTAGAGCATGTACAAGTGATCTGTTACTGAAAATGAAAAAAATCTTTTTATAGACCACTCAAGAGCGTTCAGGATAACACTTTAAATCCTTAAGTACAGTTTTTTAGTATATATATGGCACACCACTATAAAATATGTATTTGAATAAGGATATTAATTATTTTACACAATACCATTGTTAACCATATTATAGTCTTGGAAATAGGAACTGCAATAGTATCCATCTCAGACCAACTGTTTTATCATTTTGTAGAAATATTTCAGTTTAATTAATGGAAACCCCTTGTCTAAATGCTATTAGCTGATTCAGACTTTTTTTTTTAAACCTGGCTTAAACAGAACTGTAAACTTTAACGAAGTCTCACAAATGTCCTTTTGCAGTTAAAAGGGGTTACTATGAACACTAAAACTGGCATTGTTTTTCTGTTATCAGGTTACAGTAGCTCAGGTCTCTAAGCACCAGAATCCCCCATACAGCTGATCAGTTACAGCTGTTAATTGTGGAGCAAGGGACTGCTGACATCTGCTTCTTACTTAGTTAGTTAATGGTTCACTTCCAGGTCCTAAAAGGATTGCAGCCTCGTTCAAAAGACAATGTTGGTCCCCATCTACGTCTGCCTTCTACACTGCCTGTCTTGTTCTGGTTTGTCACTCTCCATACAAAGCAAATCTGAGTGAACTCACATCTGCCACTGATCGACCCAATTCGTGAGCAATCTTTTCCCATCGACCTGGGGTCCCCCCTGGGAACTTAACCATACTTCTTGTCAGCTGGCTAAGGTCCTCTTCTGTCCATTCAGGTGCCTGCAAAACATTTGTAAAACATTTATTATGCTGGGAAAATGAAAAAAAAGGAGTTGGATAAAATACTGAACAAAAACATTACATAAATCAATCAAATAATGGATGTTGTAACAATGTAATTTAATATGGTTTCCAAAGCTTGTTAGTTGAATGTTCTGTTTCTTCCACTCTGTTATAGAGAACAGTACATAAAAACAACCATCAGTGAAGGAACTTGAACCATTAAAATATTTAATATACAAAATGTACATTAGTGCAGTACACACAGTTAACTTAGGTCACTATGAAAAAAAAGCAAAAAGCAAAATAAACAATTTTACTACTTAAAGTTTAAACCACAGTCTAAGATATCGACATTTTAGATAATATAAAAAATCCTCTTACATATAACTGAATGATATATAAAGGAAGAGAAATCTTTAAAAAGTCCTCAGTTAAAAAAAATACTGAAAATAATCCTAAATGTTATTTAAAAATCTGTATCTTAAAATAGCATGCCCAATTCAGTCCGTTGTTAAAGCACCCATAATGTATTATATTTTAACATTTTGGCACAATACAGGAGTGAAATCTGACAATTTTACGTTCCACTGGGATTTTTTTTTTTTAAAAGCACCTAAACCCTGTGGCTTCTGTGCACTGCACACATGAAGAAAACAGAAAGAAACTGGACATTTTCAAAGAGCAACAAGGCCCAATAACCAAAATATAAAACCATGTTCTACTGTAACAGTATGCTGCAAATTGTACACAATTTCCTCCTTTATGACAACCGTATAAAACTGAGTAAAAAGTGAAAAACATTGGTTCCTCAGATATGGTAAAACATTAACTATTAAATCTTTGTATGTTAAATTGCCTCTCCAAGAACACAAGGCTCTGTACCAGCCTTCCACACTAGTAAAAGTAGTGACAATTGAACTAAGCATTTGTAAAAAGAAGTTAACCATTTCTGTTTTTTTTTTAAAGAATCCTTTATGATAAATACCTTTTCTAATCACCATTTCTGATAATGAACAGACATATATCAAGCAGTTTGCATTACAGAGCCATCAGCACAGAACAACAGTCAGAGGTGAGTGACCCCAGGGACCATCTCCACAGCTACAGCAAAGCTTCTCCCTGACACTAATCCTGCCTGTCATTCTCCCACTGTGCTCTAACCACACTGACATCCGCCTGCCGCACTGCAAGCTTAACGGGCCCTTCCTGACTTTTTACTGTCTCCCCCAATCAATGGTTCAAGCGTGCTCTTTTCACCATGTCCAAATGGCAGCTTCACTCATAATCAAAGTGCGTTGCCCCTGTTAAAGGGCTTCCCGAAAGGCTCTACCATTTGCATTCATTTGCAAAGCAAACTACTTTTATTCACTTTGTTCTGCTATCAAGAATGTTCCCTGAAGCAGATAAATTGGCATAAATACAACCTGCCACTTAAGAGACAGTAAATAATAGCCAATAGTGGGGAGGATTTTATCAATTGTTCTATTTTGTAGCCACGTAATTCTTTGTTCATCAAATGCTAAAAGCCTCAAATATTCATATTTATATAGTTTTTAATACAAGCATGAATTCATTATCTATCATAGTTTAAATGTAACACACACACACACAGTAGTGTGTGTGAGATATAGCACATACATACCCACTTTATTATATATGTAGTGTATACTAGTGATTTGTGGAGAACATGCTAAATACAAACCAGGTCTCATAATCACACAGTAACCTTACATTTTATTTATTGTACAAAATAAAAGCCTACATGTTCTGAATTAAAACCTCTTTATTTACATTTTCCATAACTTTGGGGTTCAGAGAAGTGAAGTTATTGGGTACCTATAAATATTCTAGTTTTGAAAATATAATTCCAGCAATATTTATTTATTTTTAAAATAAAAGAGGCTAAGTAGAGAATTTTTATGAATAAGTTTTTCATAAGTAGTATAGAACTGCACACATTGAATGTGAGCATTAGTAAATGCAATTTGTTTCAGTAACAAATGAAAGTTATGTTAAATGATTGTAGCACAACAGTAGCTGCACAGATGTATCTTAACACAATGCTCAAAGCATATCCAAACAATTTCACACAAAAATCAAATTCATATTTCTGCACTACTAGAAACATTTTAGAGGTAACAAATTGTCTGATACGTTTTAAATTCTTTAAAACAATTTTTTGTCAGATTTGATTCTTGGATGTGCTGCATATTTTAATTCCTGTGTGTAAATGTTACAAAAGTAAACAAATATTTTCCTTAGCTATCACCATCATATAGGAATTCTAATAAAAACCTACTGTCTACTGATCTTTAAAAAACAATACGGATCTTTAAAAAACAAACAAACAAACCTACTAATTCTATGTGCATCTATGATACCAATATATTGAATGTACTGAATGAAAAAAATATTTCAATAAGATGGTAACATACAATTTTAAAAAATAAAATAAAAATAAGGACATAAAATTGGTAGGTCTGAAATTCTTTGATGGAGCTTTTTAGGAATCCATTATTAACCACAAGTGCTGTAAAGAGCTTTAGTGAATTTGCAATTCCTCAGCAATAGATAATTGTGTCTTTAGATGCAACAGCGCCTACTATGATCCAACTACTACAAGCAGCCAGGAGGGTGGCCATAGTGTGAATGTATTCTCCCTGTTCTGATCTGGAGCCAGCTGTAACTGAGAGTCTCAAATGAATGCATAAGCATACTGCTTTGTCACTTAAAACCATGTGTGTCCAATATTACTGAAACACTGGGCCAAAATTCATCTCTGCAGTTAGGTAATGGAAGATACCACATAGTGAGGGGACAGCTGTTGTGACTACACAAGCATTCAGATTTTGCATCAGAAAAGCCCTGCTCTGGGATTAACTCTCCATACTGAATACAAAATGAAAGTAAGCAGAGCTATAGGCCTCAGCTTTGAACTAGGGCTGTCGATTAATTACAGTTAACTCACATGATTAACTCAAAAAAAATTAATCGCGATTAAAAAATTATTGCGATTAATGGCACTGTTAAACAATCAAATACCAATTTAAATTTATTAAATATTTTTGGATGTTTTTCTACATTTCAAATATATCAATTTCTATTACAACACAGAATAAAAAGTGTACAGTGCTTACTTTATATTATTTTTATTACAAATATCTGCACTGTAAAAATGATAAATAAAAGAACTAGTATTTTTCAATTCACCTCCATACAAGTACTGTAGTGCAAGCTCTTTATCGTTGAAAGTGTAACTTACAAATGTAGATTTTTTTGTTGTTTCATAACTGCACTCAAAAACTAAACAATGTAAAACTTTAGAGCCTACAAGTCCACTCAGTCCTACTTCTTGTTCAGCCAATCGCTAAGACAAACAAGTTTGTTTACATTTGCAGGAGATAATGCTGCCTGCTTCTTGTTTATGTCTCTCGAAAGTGAGAACAGATGTTCACATGGCACTTTTGTAGCCGGCAATTAACGCAACCCAAGACCCATTTGGATATCTTTGAGCCGATATCGCGGAGCCTTTGGAACTTTCTGCAAACGAAAGGAAAAGTTTAGGGGACTTCCTGAAGTCCTTAGTCCTGTCCAAGTAGAATGCTAGTACTTTTCTAACATCTAGCATATGCAAAATTGCCTCCCTGTTGTCACGATGTGATTTTGTTTAAAAAGTGGAAAGATGGATCTGTTGATTCCCATGGAAAGTGGAGGCAACTTTAGGGAGAACCTTGGGATGCGGCCTCAGAGTTGCTTTGTCTTTAAAAAAAGACAGCATATGTTGGGTGTGCCATTAGGGTTGCTACTTCTCCTATGTGCCTAGCTGAGGTGATGGCAATTAGAAATGCTGTCTTCATAGACAGGTGTTATGAGAGAGCAAGTTGCCATGGGTTCAAAAGGAGGTCCAATCAAAGCACTGAGAACTAGGTTAAGATCCCAGGTTGGAGCAGATGGTCTCACATGCGGGAAGAGATTCCCAATGCCCTTAAGAAATCTATGCGTCAGTGACTGAGCAAACACCAAGTATCCGTCTATCTGATGGTTAGTAACTGGAAAGTTACAGCAGCAAGATGTACCTTAAGGGAGCCGAGTGAGGGTTCTGACTTCTTGTGGTCTAAAATGTAATCTAAAAATCAGAGGGAGGGAAGACAAAGTTGGGTCTGTGTGCTTAGAATGACATCGAACTTGGAATCATTTCTATTTTTGTAGGTAAGTACATCAAGTGGTAGACTTTCGGCTGTACAGCAACACGTCTTTCACCTCTCAGAGCATTCTAAGTCTTGGAACCAAGAAGGAACCAAATCCTGGATAGGCACCTGGGCTACGAAAGCCACCGATGTGGCTTGCGCCCTAGTTGAATGGGTGGTCACAATCGCCAGTGGAGGCACTGTTGCCAGATCATAGCAGCAGCAGATATCAGCAGTGATCCAGGATGAAATTCTCTAAGAGGACACCGCATGACCTTTCATCCTGTCTGCCATCACAATGAACAGCTGCCTTGATCTATGAAACGGCTTGGTCCTGTCGATGTAGAAGACTAACGCCCTCCTGATATCCAGAGAGGCAATCTGCGCTCCTCCTCTGACTTATGAGGTTTTGGAAAGGTAAATATATGTCCTGGCCCATATGAAACTGAAACCACCTTGGGCATGAACGCCAGGTGCAGATGCAGCTGAACCGTATCCGTATAGAACACCGTATAGGGTGGCTCCGAGGTAAGGGCCCTAATTTCAGAGACCCTGTGGGCAGATGTTATTGTAACCAGGAATGAAACCTTCCAGGAAACGAGGGGAAGGGAGCAGGAAGCCAGAGGCTCGAAGGGGGAGGGGGTCCCATGGCTGGCTTGCCCTTGGATTGCAAGGCCTTAACCATGTCCAGCACCTGGTCTGGCGTCTGCGACACTGGAAGGCCCATAGAGGTCTTTGGCCACCTGGGTAGCTTAGTGTCAAAGGTCCCAGTAATAGCCGGGGTCCCCTGCCACTTGCAGGAATCGGATC